ACTTTGACAGAGAGTAGATAGCAGATAACACATTGCCTCTCAATGTTATAGTACTTTCAAGTTGAAACAATATAGACACATGCCAGGATCTTACAATATTGGTGTTCTTTTGTTGCAAATCACAGAAACTGGCTATAGCTTATCTAAATCAAGAAAAGTATTTTAAAAGTGTTTTTGGAAAATACAAAATTGGTGGTAAGATGGGAGGTCGAGGCTTGAAATCGAACAGGAAATTCTGGAGGGTAATGGCACTGGTCTTCTGACAGGTGACATGCAGTCTGACAGCCTCTTCTAGAATTAAGTGGAATTAAGTGTGTTTGCATCTTTTTGTGGTGGCACGCTCAAGTTTGTGATTCTAATTGACTTTGGTTGGATCAAGAGTCTGAACACTGCGAACGGCAAAACAGTGCACATTCGAGCCCCAACATACTATACAGAATAGGAAGAAGAAACTTGGTTGTAATCAAAAAGAAGATATGGCTGCCAGATACCCCCAACGCCACCAAATCCAATGTATGCTGTAGATTTATTCTCATATTTTGACAACTTTAAAATATTACAGCTAAGAATTAGGAAAATCACATATTCAAAGTTTCATCAATGACAGTAACAGGAAATGGACTAGGGGAAGTAGAGGTGGAGGTGAGGATAAAAGGAGCATTTTTAAAGGATACATTTATCTGTAAAGATATAATTTTAAAGAGTTCTCTTCAGGCTGGATTGATAATTAATTCTGAATATTTTTATCAAGCAAGAAACTGGAAATAAATCAAGCCTCGTGTATTATACCCCAGACACCTGCCATCTTCAGTTGTGATAGATGTAGACTAAATTGTTTGAAATTTTATTTAAATGCAGTTTAATATAGAATTTAAATGATACAAAATAGAAGAATAGCTCTAATTGCATAATGTGTTATCTTAGCAAATAAATAATATATGATCTACTGAATGTGTAAATGACACCGACAGAACTTTGGTAAATTTACTTGTGTTACTCTCACCCATCAGCAATTCTATAATCACTTAAAGTCTTACTCTTCATGAAGTGAAATTATTTTAAACTTTTCATATGCTGACAAACAGAAACCTTTTTATTCTCCATTTACAAAATGACATCTGCTCTGTTTCCATTTTACTTTTTCAAAATGAGTTCACTTTAGTGTTTTATTTCTTATTTTGTCAAATAGCTTTGCCAAAGATGGTGAAAATCTAGTCCCTGTAGACCAGCAATTACAGAAATGTAGACATAACACTTTACATATGGCAGTTATGTGCTTAACATTTTATATTAGGTATTTTAGACATCTAGATTGCCCTTTCTCTATTTTTAACTCAATCAAATGCCAAGAAAATTTTAAACAATAAAAACCAAGCCATTTTGCAAGCAGGATATTGACTACTGTTTTAAATAACAGTAATAATATAGTAGTAATAATATAAGTAGGTCCTCAGGTCTGATCATCTAAATACAGACAGTCTGTAGCTCTTTCTTTTCAATGACAAGTAACACTGATCAGAGCCACGCTGCTGTTGTCACCCGATCGCCTCCTGATTCTCTCCTTCACATTATCTCCTCTCTCCCTGCTGACACGCACCATGGCCTCACACACACACTGGTACACACGTGTGTACACACACACACACACACAAACTGGGGTGTGGGGCTTAATGCTGTGGATTCTGTTGTCAGTCTTCCCGGGGTTTCCTAAGATCTGTCACTTACCAAGTATGCAAATTCAGGTACGTTACCTTCTCTAAGCCTCTGTCTTCATCTGACCAAGACAGGCACCACGCACACTCTCAGGGAGTGTAAAGGGTTCTTGGTGCAATTATTGCTATTGTTGGCAGAGGGCTTATAGGAGAAACAGTAGCAGTGATGTCTGTAAGTTTTATTGGTTTAGCCTCTGTATTCAGAAACCTTATTCTCGATCATACTCAGATAGAAACACCTTATTAGAAGATCATTCTTAAAACATAGCACATATAATAAAGGATAATTATGAAGCTTAGAATGAATCATAACTCTGATATAAATTCTGAGATAATTCTGCCATTAGAGATACATATTTCTTTTTTCATTTTAATCTTGTCTTACTTGTTCAGTTACTTTACTACAGAAATCAGAATATGAGAAGGGACTCACCAGTGCTGACTACTGATGAATTTTAACAATTAGGGTTGGATGAAATCAGAGTCCAAAACACATCATTATATTATTATGATACATTATTTTCATTTATTTGGACATTATCTACTACTATAATTAATTTGGCTCAGAAATGAATTTTCTTAATGTTTTAATCAGTAGGGTCCCAGAAAGGCAGGATGCTGCATTAAGACATCATGCAGTTTTGAGATGTGATTCTGCTGCCAACTTCTCCCCACTTCTTTGCTAAAATGCCTGATGTCTGAGTTCACGTCTGACATCATAAGAATCAGGATTTAAATAACAGATCTCAGTCTCTTCTGGCTTAAAGACTATTCCTTGCAGAAGCTGAGACTTCTCTAAGCCTATCTGAGCTAAAGATACAAACAAACCTCTGTTCTGGTCTCAGTCATTCAGGTCTAAGCTGCAGGCTAAATCACTTATAATTCAGAAATCTCACTCTTCTTGATAAAAATGAAAAATAATCTTGAACAAGAGTAGCATAGAGGAGCAAACACTTAACCAGAAATCAGGAAGTCTGGTTTAGCCCTGAACCATCTTCAATCTATTTTGGTAACCTTGGTAACCTTGGCAAATAAAACTTAATCTTTATGTGAAGTTAGAAAGTTTATCAACTATTCTAAGCATCACTCCAATGCTAATGTCCCTTGAGGGGGAAAAATCCATAACCATATGTTATTTTAATCTAATTGATACTTTTCCTAACACAAATGTACACACACAGATACCACACACACTCTCCTACACATATTCATAGACACACACTTTTCCAGTTCCTCTCTTTCTTTCTCCCTCTCGTCCTTTTCCTTAGTCAAATATGGAAATCCAATATTCTAAATACTCTTATTCTTCTTAAGCAAAAGAGAAATCTCAATGGATTTGTCAGCAGATCAGAAGAATTCTGTGCAGGTGTATTTCCCTGGGGAAATATATATGCCAATGATAGAATTCTAGGTCTGTCTTTTACATGGTGATAAAGTCCTTGTTTGTTTTTTGCTAGTAAAAGAAAAATGAAAGAGAAGTCATTTGTCACCCAATGGAATGAAAAGTTCTCAGCAACTGCTTAAGTGAAATGCCTCCTCCTCATTTAAGACACTAGTCCCCTTAAACCCACATCTACTTTTATTATTGATTTTTATCTTCTTTGCCCTCAAGAAATAGCAAGAAACATGTTCAATTCTAGCCTGGGGGAAAATAAAAGAAGAAAACTTAACACCAGAGATCTATCCTACACTGGTAGAAAAACTGACTTGATGACCTAATTGGCCCTTTGTATGACTGACAGTTAGAACACCTTGTGCTGGGTGGAAACCAAACTGAGCACCGTCATAGATAGAGAAGAAAAAGCCACATCAAAATGTAAGTTAGATGTGTTTCTCTGAGTCTGAATTTGGCAGACTCTTACTATAATTTTATCCACAAGAAGATAAAGAGGGAGTCAGAAGAACCATCAGAAGAGGAAATAAAGTAAATTCTTATTGATCTTCAAGAGAAATAAATATCCTATTGGTCTGTCTCCTAGTTTCTATACTATGAGATGTCTGCTACATGAGTAGAAGCTTTTCTGGGTTATTTTATCAAGCTACATTTTCATATTATTCAGACACCCAGGATTGTGCTAACGATTCAGCAATGGCTTTTTAAGTTATGGCAGTTGGGTTAATTTGACTGCTCAAACCCTTCCCTCTAACTCTTCAACTGATGCATTATAGAATTGCCTGAAGTAGCAATTATATTGTGTTGTCACTGGTACAAAATGATGTAATACCAGGAGAAGTTCTTCCTGACCTGTAAAATCAAATCAGTGTCATAGACTTCCTACATGTACTCCGTAGAAACAAGGAAGCTGATCAAGGATGAATTTAAATAAATGATCATCTAAATGATTCCAGCTTTTCCAGCCAGAATAGTAAGAGGAGTGAAACTGGAGAATTATCTTGACCTATCTGCCTTTTTTTCCTAGCCATCTCTTACCTTTCTAACAAACTCATAGCAGAAATATATTGAACTGTGCATGCTAGAACATAAGTAGCCACTCTGACAAGCATAGCTAAAGGATGCTTACTTACATTCTTATTAGCTGAAATCCCAGATGTTGTATTGAAAATGCCAAACCCATACCCATACCCAAAAAGGTTGCAGCAGACTTTTATTGTGGATTATATGGTAAGGGTCTGAACCAGAGTTCCCTTTTTAAAAGATTTTCCTGGGTGCCACGGACTAAGAGAAGGTTGAGTATGCTGTCATTATTTCAAATTCATAAAAATACTAATGAATAATAGTATTTTTGTACTTACTGCTCTAGATTTACAAATATTTCCTCATTTCATTCTCAAAATAACCTTCAGAGGAAGATACTACTAATATTCCCATTTTACAGGTGAGGAGACAGAGAGTTTTAAAATTTGAGTTTACTCAACTAATAAACAGTAGAGACAGCGTTTAAAGACCAGGTATTCTGCACCTAGAACCAGTTTGTATCAAGAATCTATATCCAAAATGGCAAAGGAAGATTGTAATTTACACCATGGATTATACATTAATCCTCTAAATTGCTGGCTATTTTAACCAATACACTGCCATTTAAATTAAAGAAGGCTTTGGTATTTTAATTACAATTGCATTAAGTACAGTTTCATTTCTGCAGATTACCACACTATTACAACTTATTTTTTCAAGTTTCTATTGAGATCGAAAGTCAGATTAATCTGTATTTTGTTAATAAGAACAGGATTGTTATGATAAACCACAAAGAGCTGAAAGAGACTCTCAAATAAAACAACAAGAAAACAAGCAGGAAAAAAAAAAACCAACAACAAAAAAAAACCTACCTTTCCTGTGGTGGATAAGAATCAACAGGTGTAGAAAAGGGGCAGTCCAAGCATGTCAGTTTAGATATGGTCCATTTCCAGCCATGAGGGGGCTATAAGAAGAAACAGAAGAAACTCAGGTTAAAGCTAAACAGATTTCTATTTCCACCCCTCAAGAAGCCTTCTGCTATTATTTTGTTTCCTCTTAAATATTAGTAATACAGAATCATCTATACTGCTTTCTTCTCCTGGTAGGGTAATGAAGAGATTGGTATATTAAAACGTTATTCCCTTAAGCAAGTAAAAACTGAGGCATCTTAGAAATGCTCAATTTTGACTTGATATCAAATCCATCATGCAGACATAGAGAAATATTCTTTAATAGAATTATCGAACTTCAGATATAATATCAGGAAACTCCACAAGTTCAAGCATCAGTGACAAGCCCCTCAAAGTTCGTAACAAAAAGCTGTGAGATGCTGTACAAGAGAAAATAACTTAGTCACCTACGCTGTACATTGTCAAACACACAAGCTTCACTCTGACAAATGAACAACTACCTTGGGGGCTGCAACTCTATTTGAACAATACAGGCTGGGTGAGTTGCAAATTTGCACAACAATTCTGGATTGAACTGGAGAATAAACGAATTCAAGCGTATTCATTCAGTTTCTACCCATCAGAAACTCAAAATGTATACGATGTTCAAGCACTGAAATTTAAAAATATAAACTGAAGAAAAGGTTACCACAACTAATATCAACTTATCAACATTCAACTTTAGCAATCAACCTTACCAATGAACTTATAACATCAGTATGTGAGCCACACTCATATTTGTGTAGGAATGGTACTTATACACAAGATCTAATGAACCTGCAACACTTACTGAACACACAGAGTATATGTATGGAATATGTACCCTGTAAGATTGGAAAAGAACAAATAAAGATGGTCTCTTCGCTTAGGGAGCTTACAGCAAAATACATCCTCGTAATAAAATATTGATGAAAATGATTCAAATTTTCTGAAAAAAATTCTTTGACAATCCTGCAAAGCTTAAGGGGGGTTATTAAATAAGCCACTTCACTCTGTCTAATTTGAGGTACTTCACTATAATGGATACCTTCAGCCTGTAGTTTCCCCAAGTTCAAGGATCTTGCCCCTCACCTGCAACTAAATTCTCTGTCTCTAGAAAAGA